CGCCTCGCTGTATAGACTGAATAAGTGTTGTGAAAAGACACATTCTTTTCTTACACCCTTTTCATTTGTGTATATTTACTGAACTCATTTTCTCTTCGTATTCAGGCGATTTGCTTCCAGTATAGTTCCTATCATTTCCAATAGTTCTTTGTGACGTACTTTACATAATCTATAAAACACAGGCATACATATTTCTGCCTTTGTATTGCTCTTTCTGATATCATTCCGAGCATAAATATTGCATTCCTTGTTCCAGTGTCTTTAAAGGACCCTCACTTTTCTTGTCCCATTCTCTGTCTAATTCTGCTGCGTGCCCTATTTATTTCAAATAATGCGTTTTGTTATATGGCTCATTAGGCTGATTGTTCGATGGAGTTCATTCACATTCGTTTGCACCTGGCTTCTTAGGCAGTGCTATAAAAATGGATCTATTTAGGTCTTCCAGTATATCACCGCTGTTGTGTATTGCATTTATTATGTCTGTAATCTTATCAATGCCGAAATCATCTAGGGCATCCAAGATCTCTATTACAATTCTATCTGGTGTTGCTGCTTTGTTTCTGTTCAATTTGGTCAGTTCTGTTTTCACTTCATATTTTAATATTTCTGGTCTTCGATATTTTTGTGTGCATTGCCGGTTGTCTTCTTTCATAGAGGAAGAGTTCTTCGATGTACTCGTTCCGTTTCTGAAGTATTTTTTCTTTTTCCAATATCAGCGTCCCGTCCTTAGATGTTATACATCCTGTTGATGAGCATGTTTTTTTGTCCAGTTCTCTTATTGTTATGCAGATCTGTTTTATCTGTGATACTTATTCTTTCTATTTCTGCACATTTTTCGTTGAGTCATTCCTTTTTAGCCCGCCTGTATTTCTTCCTATTTTATTTGTGTAGTGTCTTATATTCTTCGCCGTCATCCATTCTTTTATTGCTTATTTTTCTTTGAGATCATCTCTGTTGGTGATGTTACTAAAGCTTTTCTTAATGTGACCCACTTCAAATTTTGTCTATTGTATCTGCTTTTAACACTGTCCATCTATTTCCCCTTTACATTCAGGTCAGTCAGGAGTCTGCCATGTTTCAATTTGGGTGCTGCCTCGCAATTTTCGTAGTTTAACTCCAATTTACAGATCACTGGAAGATGGTCGCTTCCGCAGCTGGCTATGTTTTGCAATCTAAAACTGCATTCCTGAATTTCTCTTCCTCTTTTCCTTCGGGCAGAGAGGAACCCAGACGAGGCTATGCTGAATGGGAGAGTCTCGTTTGGAGAGGCAGACAAAGCTGAGCCCGAGTATACGTGGCCTACGGGCAATTTTTGCCCGAGCCTTTGGGCTGGAAACTCCCCACGTTAAAAACTGGCCTTGTGTCACATCTTGCCTTGTGGGGATGTGGTTAGATAACAAAAAGACAAAATTTATGAAGAGCTACAAAGGACAGGGAACTGTGTAGCGCCATGGTCGAATTTCCGTTCTCAATTTGTCCATTGTATCTAGTTTTAACACTGTCCATATATTTTTCCATTACGTTCGGGCCATTCAAGAGTTTGTTGTATTGCAATTTGGGTGCTGCTTAGGCCCTCTCCAATTTTCGTATACTAAATATACTCTAAGTATAAATATCACTGGAAGGTGATCGCTGCCGCAGTTGGCAGTCGGCAGTCGGGTATGTTTTGTGGTATAAGGCTGTATTCCTGAATCTCTTATTGATAGTTATATCATCGATTTGGTTTTTCGTTTTTCCTCCTGGGCTTCTCCATGTCTATATGCGTCTTTGGTGTTCTTGAAACCAGGTGTTGGCTACTACCTGCTCATTCGCCATTCACCATTGAACCCATTTTTTATCCCCGCTGATTATATATAAGTTTCATCATCTCTCTTTTTATCTACTTTGACATTTACGTTTGCTATGGCGATTGTAATTTCTTGCGATTTGCATTGAGCCTTGGCGTGGTCTAGCGTAGATTAAAACTTTCCAATTTCTTCTGTACTTTGTACTGTTGGTGCATATGATGGATATGTTGAAAGGCTTTCCTATCAGTTTAAAGACAAGAATTCTTTCAGGTACCTGATAGTATTCCATAAGACATTTCTTCATGTCTTGATCTAATATCAGTTCTACTCCTCTTTCATTTTTCTCTCCGCAGGTTGGTGCATAATTATCAGGCGTTTTCAAATAATATTTATTATGAAAAAAGAAACATAACTGTTCAATAATAACATTTTTAAACGAGTATGACGTATTTTTATAACCTGAAAATAAAATAATATTTTTATTAAAAAAACGTAATGCCTGATAATTATGCACCAACCCAATATGATCCTGTGTTTGTCAATGACGAAATTTTCATTTTTTGCCAACCTTGTTTCACATACGCCAAAAATATTAACGCTTAACCTTTCATTTTTTGCTTTATTTTTTTTTTTATGGCCCGTGAATTATTTTTTTGTTTAATACAAACAGTTGCTGCTTGACCGTCCACTGACACCTGCCGTTCACGTCTTCCCTTAGCGGACTAGGGTTCAATTGCAAGGAGTTCCACCATATTTACACCGTTTTCTTTGCTAACCTCTGCTAGAAGTCATCTGGTGTACATGTCCATACTTACTGGACGTGGATTTAATCTTAATAGACTTAACACTCTTCACGTAGTTATCTTTCATAATTTGATTGTTAAAGTTTTGATTGATAGGAGAGTGGTTTCCCGTTGCCTTCTCCACGGTTATTTATTAAGACACAACCTCTACTTAGCTGGTTGTTGACGCTTCAAGAGTTATTCTGGCCTTTGATAGGTTTTATTTTTCATTCTACAGGGTTGCTAACAACTCTTTTCACTCGCAAGTAATTGGAGTAGGGCTGCTGGTTTAGTCACCAATCACCCGACAATAGCATACATACATATACATACATATACATACATATATATATATATATATATATATATATATATATATATATATATATATATTAACGTAGTTAAAGTCCTAAACAATTTCTTTTTGATTCAAAGTATCTTTTTAGCTTGAATTTCTCGAGCTAATAGTGAATAAGTGTTTTATTATGTAATATTCGATTATATAACCAAAAGGTTTCATTGGTGAAAAACAATGTACAAAAAATATGGGAAAATATACGTACAAATAGTTCACCACTCAGTTCCAATTTTGGTCAAAATACTTTAGACTTTAGAAGGAACTGGAAACCCAATCCTAAGCAGGAAAAAGCAAATAAATAATAAATAAAATGACAGAGATTAGCCGTGAATATATGCATTAGGGTAGATTCTTTTATAAAACTGACAGTATGATATTATCTACTAAGTTTTGTCTTAGTATAAGTTTAAATATCCTCTATCAAAACAAAATCGAACAGGATATTAACAATATTTGAATTAAGGCGAGATATACGTAGAAATAGGTTCAAATTGTGTTCAGATTGTTTAAGCTTGCAAAAGATGATTACAAGCCAAAATATAGATTTATCCATTCGATGATATTATCTACTAAGTTTTAACTTAGTATAAGTTTAAATATCCTCTATCAAAACAAAATCGAACTGGAAATTAACATTATTTGAATTAAGGCGATATATATATAGAAATAGGTTCAAATTATGTTCAGATTGTTTAAGTTAGCAAAAGATGATTACAAGCCAAAATATAGATTTATCCATTCAAAAATTAATATACTTAAATAAATAAAATCAAGTAAAAAACAAAATAAAATAAGTAAACAATATAAGAAAACTTCTCTGTTCTCTTCAAACTTCGCCCCCATTGCTCGACTAATATTGAGTAGAAAAGACAATAAAAGAACACCATAAAAAACCCGAAGATGACGATTGATGTATTGAAATGTCTGAAGCTCTTAGTTGACAGGACAGGAAGAAACTGGGAGAGATTTCTACAAGCGTGAAGTTGAGAGAAGAAACAATTACAATATATGGTTACTTTACTTTTACAATTTCAACAGTAAAAAATGATGAGACCTAACTGCCAATTTAGTACTACACTTAAATCCGCAAAGACGAGATATCAAAAAGTAGAGCTCACCAGAATAATTGCGATGACATTTTTTTTTTATAGAAAATGCACAGGGAAGCTACGTTACGGCGATGGGAAATATTCTGATTTTGATTTAAGTTTTCCATTTGTTTTCATTTTTCTTGATTTCCTCGTTGCTTACACTCCTTCTCCATGCTATTTTCAGCAATCTCGTCATGGTTATCTTAGAAAATAATAAAAATCCTTAAGTCGGCAAAAGAGGAATTCTCCCGTAGGCTAGACAACTATCAAATCGCAAGACACAAAACGTATATATATATTTTTTTATTCTGCTTCAGTGTTTATCGGAACAGAAGATCCGCTTTTTTTTTTCTACATTTAAATCATCGTCCTTCCCTCCCGTAAATGCTCAATTTCAAATCACACAATTTCTCCCTTTATCTCAGTCTTCTGTTATTGATTTCCATGTCATGTTCTGGACGTTTTTGGCGCCAACATTTAGCGATAACCTCCCATTGTCACTGTCAACGGAGATATTCACATGATGTCGACGATGTCATTCTTTTTGCGTTATGCTTGTCAATTTTACGAGACTTTTTTTTTTCCTAATGTTTTGCGACTTGGTTTTCATTTCTATTTATGTTTATGTTCGAAGACTATTGGACGCACGTGGCATTGCTTGTTAATGATGGATGCTAATATCTCATTTATTTTTCTTTTCACGAGTTGCCTCCCTTTCCTTTTTTTTCCTAATATCATACATTGTGGCTTTCTTTTTTTTTTTTTTTTCTTAATCCATACATTTTACCTCGGTGAGAGGCACTTCAACGTGGCGTAAGGGTTAGCAAGCTTGACTCACTAGATGAATTTCGATTGAAAAGTGAGTTCGACCCTTACTGGGTGCCTTATACTTTGGGGCTTGTGTGACATCTTAGTTACACTTAGAAAATCATCGTACTTTTTGAGGCATGTCACTTATAGATTATGGTTAACATCTCTTCAGTTCTCTTTCTTTCCTTTCTATAATTTCTTTTACTTCGACTAGATTTGATCTATCATTTCTACTCGCGACGATTTATACCGATTCCTTTCTGTCATTCTCGAATAATTTCTTTTGTTTTTTCTTCGCTTTTCATGGCCATCTCTTTTTGTATGAATTACTCACAACCATCTCCCATCTTCTTATTCTCGTCAGTTTTTATTCTTTCAATACTTTGTCTTTCTTCCCATTCTTTAGTTTATTAATAAGAATTGGGATTTCGAACCGAAGCCTTTATTTTGTCCACTGGGCTAAATTGTTCTAGTTCCACGTGCCATGCCTCTTTCGGATGTCTCAGTTATTTAACAGTTATTTTCCCTTTAACTCAACTCTCCAAGGGCCATGTGTCTCAAGGACACATGACCCAGTTTTCTTTTGTCTATATCTCTGAGATGAAGTATTATGATTACTTACATTATTTACATAATTCGAACTGTTATCCTCATCTTCATTGCCATATTTACAACGTTTCGTTCATTGTACGCTCCGACTTTCTTCAGGTGATTGGAATTTCCAACCGAACCCTTTATTTTGTCCACCGGGCTAAATTGCTCTAGTTCCACGTGCCATACCTCTTCCGGATGTCTCAGTTATTTCTCTTTAACTCAACTCTCCAAGGGCCATGTGTCTCAGGGCTAAATTGTTCCACGTGCCATGCCTCTTCCGGATGTCTCAGTTATTTCTCTTTAACTCAACTCTCCAAGGGCCATGTGTCTCAGGGCTAAATTGTTCCACGTGTCATGCCTCTTCCGGATGTCCAGTTAATTCTCTTTAACTCAGCTCTCCAAGTCTTTGGTTCACCGCCGCTGTGGCCTGGTATTGAACTCGCAACTCTTTGGGTCTAGTCCACTGGGTCATGTGTCTTTGAGACACCTGGCACTTGGAGAGTTGAGTTAAGGGGAAATAACTAAGATATCCGGAAGAGACATGGCACGTGGAACTAGAAAAATCTACTCCGGTGGACGAAATAAAAGGTTTTGTTAGAAATTCCAATTCTTATTTTTTTCTCTTCGATTTTCATCGTCAACTAGCATGATTTACTTACCTTAATCTCATATCTTATTTTCGTCAGTTTTTATTCTTTGGATTTTTTTTCCCTCTTTTTCCATTCTTTAATTTCTTGAAAATCATTGTCATAATTCTACTGTTTTATTTCCATTCTTCTAGCGTATCTTCAATTATTCATGAAATCTTTTTCCTAATTTGTCATTCTTTTTTGTTTCACTCAGAGCTTTCATCTCTTTCTCTATCTGTCTTCCACAACTTTTTTTTTATCTTGAAAGACGACCAGCCAGGGTCAGAGCGTGATTCCTTTGTCATGAAATGTTAAAGTTGGCCTCCCATTAACTTCTCACACTGAAGAGCTCTGGTAGCAGAGGAGTTAATTGCGTGCCGGGTCATCGATGTTAATGTCTAAGCGGTCTGCGTCTTCTCATCCGCCACTGGCAGTACCGACAGTGGTGGGCATCGATTCACTACCCACCCATATTCCTCCCATTATTCTTCCCGTCCTAGCCTAAAACCTGATCTAGCGTTTAAAGCGTGCACATTTTTACAAGGGCCACCAATGGCACTATCGTTGATGCCATCTTTATTACCCCATGCTACGCCATCTGTGTCATGATACACCCAACATCAATCAAGCACCATCATCAACAAATACGATAAAGAAACAGCAATAGCGGTAGCAATGGTAATCCATAATCACCCACTTCATCGCCCACTCGTGACATTAAAACCCTTGATGTTGAAACGAGCTAATATTTCACAGTTTATCACAGTTAAAAAGAAAACGTATGTCTATGCGGAAGCAAGATAGAGAAATGGAAGGAAAAACAAAGAGAAACAGAAAAGGAGGAGGAGGAGGAGGAGGAGGAGAGAGAGAGAGGTCAAAAGTGAGAAGAAAGAAAACAAAAGTAAAGAGACAGTGAATGAGAGATAGCGGAAGAGAGAGAGAGAGAGAAAAGAGAAAATTCAGAGAGAGAGAGAGAGAGAGAGAGAGAGAGAGAGAGAGGGGGTGTCAAAAGTCAGGCGAAAGAAAACAAAAGAAAAGAGACAGTGAATGAGAGAGATAGCGGAAGAGAGAGAGAGAGAGAGAGAGAAAGAAGAGAAAATTCAGAGAGAGGGGGGTCAAAAGTCAGACGAAAGAAAAAAGAAAAGAGACAGTGAATGAGAGAGATAGCGGAAGATAAAGGAGGAAAAGAGAGAGAGATAAAGAAGAGAAAATTCAGAGAGAGAGAGAGAGAGAGAGAGAGAGAGAAGAGCCAGAGTGGAAGAAAGAGGGCAAGAGTGGAAGAAAGATATCAAAAGAGCGAAGAGGAGAAGAATGTGGAAGAAGGAGACGAGGAAGAAGAATAAGACAATGACAGAGAGGACGAAAAAAGAGACAAACGAAATACAAAAGAGAGCATAAGAAGAAGGAGGATGAAAATGACATGTACCAGAGAGCGAAGAAGAACAAGAGAGAAGACGAGATGACCATAGAGGGGAGAAAGAACAAGAGAGAAACACAGAGAGAAATAAAGGGGAAAAAGCAAAGAATCAGTGAGAGGAAGCGAGAGAAATTTAGAGAGATACATAGACGCACACACGCATCGTGGAGAAAAAGGTGAAACCATATTTTATTCCGAGTTTCATTTTTAAATTTTTCTTGCTTTGTCAAAATAATGATGGGAATATTTCGGCTGAAAAAGCAATAAGATTAAAGAAAAAACAAAATCACATTTTCTGACCCTATAAAAAGGTCGTCAAATTTGAATTGGCTTTTCGTTCAAGGCAAAAATAAATCATTCTGCTATTGAATTTTCCTTTTTGGGGTTGTCGCATGATTTCAGGCTTTTTGAAAATATTGTCTATAAGACCGAGAATGGAGTATTGTTGACGTATCTTGGCTATTTCTGCCCAATCTATAATCTCCAGCCCCGACAGATGCGATTACGCGGCCTTGTGGGTGATGAAATATTCTCCAACTTGCAACCCTTATTCCACTAACAAAACGTTGCTAGCCGCCCCACTATTCCATTGCTATTGCTATCGCAGATGTTCTGACAAGTTAAATTCCCTAGTTCTACCAGTTCAGACCTACACAACTAGGACCCACCATGTCATGTCCACGACATAAGATCAATCCTATTTCCTTCGTATTCATTTCGCAAGAGTAAGTTCCACCCAGACAACTTCCTCTCCAGATCTGTAGAACACAGGCTCTTTAGGGAATATCTCCCTAACCCCGAAACCCTAACTAAGGTCAACTGATATCTATCCTACATAACCTTATAATATGCGCTTCTTAATTCCCTCTTTCCCTTCCTTTCCACTCTTACATGAATCTCACTCAATAACACTCTACCTTGGGCCTTGTATTCGTGAACTAGAATAAATAAAAATAAATTGTACTTCCCTGTAAATTAAATATAATAAAACTTTCATTTAGTAGCAGCTTGCTTAACCCTAGAACACTAACAATGGGTATATCGTACCCAGCGCAAATTTTCCTATTTTTAATTACAATTTTCAGTACCTGATTTTCTTACCTAAATAATGTTTTTCAGTTCCTATTAATGTTAACTCAATGTTTGAAGTACTGGATGTAAAATATTTCAAATAAAGATTTATATTTAATATTTTTTTTGATATTTTCAAAATCGGGTATGATATACCCATGGTTAGTAGTGGTGTAACTTTAATTGATGGTTAGTGTTCTAGGGTTAAAGTTAAAATAAGCAAAAATGCTGACAGCGAGGGTGAGATAAATTTCATCAAATAAACGATTGTTTTGGAAGATGTGTTATTCAATGAAAGACTGAAGTTCTTTCGGTGACATTTGAAAGACAGGATATAATAAATCCAATTGACATGTCAAAGAAAGTATTTTTTTTCGCCTATATCACTATGACCACGACGAGTAGAGCTGGAACTGTATGACCCGATCGATCAATGGAATAAACGTTATTTCGGAAAATTTAATGATCGTCGAGGTTTGAACGCTAAGAATCTTAGGCGGATGGAAAAGATGTCCAATTTTAGCCAGTGCATAAATGCGTACCACAGACATGGTTAGAGGGACTATATTAATATCCAGTATGTACACTTCTAAGGGAACTGAAATACCTATCAGTGTTAGTCCTGGGTATAAGTATAAACGGCATCAGATGACAGGGCCTCTGAGCGGGAGATTGGAAAGTTTGAGGAGCCTGGAACTACCTTTTAATTGCTGTTGTTCCCACGTCCAATCTTACCTCGTGTGGTAGCACCTGTTTAAAAAAATTTTTTTTAAGCATATCACCTCAAGCAAGGCGGGAGTGTCACTAGCACGCAAGGGGGTTACAGAGAGTGAGAGCAAGAATAAAGAGGAGTGTTTAAAGAAAGTATAAAGACAAGGACGGGGATCATGATCAAGTCATCGGAAGATGTCGATTGACATTACATTTGAATATTTGGAGATTATAGCTATCAAGGAATCAAGTAAGAGGAGGAGAGTTCCACTGACGGGGGGTGCGAGATAAGAAGCTGTTGGAGTAGAAGAGACGGCTACAATTAGCCGTATCGATAGTGAAAGGGTGCGACTGAGATGCCAACCTAGTAGGACGCTTAAATTCATGTTGTTCGGGTACCAGTGAAAGTAGCTCGTCAGAGCAGTTGCCATGAAAATATATGTAGAAAAGATAGATGCCAGATCAGGACCTATCATATTGCAAATCCGAGCTTGAGATAAACAGCGGGGACCCTAGAGCGTATATGGCAGCAGTATTCAATGCAAGGACAAATGATTGATTTGTAGATTTGAATGATAGAATCAGGCGAGAAAAACCTTCTGGCGCGATACAGATGAAGCTATTGATTCAATGTAGTTGTTTCACCTCAGGACAGTGGAAAGCGTGAGACCAAACAGGCGCCCTCGTGGAATTGGGCATCAGCCATTCTGATAGGAGGCAGGGAGGGTTCTCTATGGTGGATAAAAGAGAGCAGTTTCGTTTTGGAGGAATTAAAGTTTACAAGCCATTTCCTGCCCCAGTCAACCACAGATTGGAGGCCCTTTTCGAGACCAAATGCCAAGTTAGTTTTGTCAGCAATACCGGATTTATTATTGAGGCAGGAGTAAATAGTGTCGTCTGCGTAGATGCCTACTTGGGAACTGATGACATCAGGAAGATTGTTGATGAAGATCAGAAACGGTGTAGGGCTCAGGATAGAACCTTGGGGAACACCAGCGTTCGTATTAAAGGAACTGGAAAATAGCCCGTGTAGGACCACCTTCACTTCACGGTTTGACAGGAATGATTGGATTAAGTCAAATAATCGTCCTGTAATACCGCACCCCTGAAGCTTACGTAGAAGACCAGCATGCCAAACCCTGTCTAATGCCTTAGAGATATCTAGAGCCACAGCTCGAGCTTCTCCGTTATAGTCAAGTGAGTGGTATACAAATTCAGTTATGGCCGTGACCACATCAGCGGTAGACCGGGCAAAGCGAAAACCATATTGTTTGTCAGAGAGCAGATCATGGGATATAAGGTGCCTATGCACTTCGGCGTTGATTAAAGCCTCGAAGACTTCACTGAAGAGTGGTAGGAAACTGATAGAACGGTAGTTAGATGAGTCAGAAGGGTCTCCAGAGTTCTTAAAGACAGGGACAACAGATGAGGACTTTCAACAGGCTGGAAAGTCAGTGAGGCAATAGTTATATATAGTTTGGAGAGGACTGGTGCCAGTTCAGGAACACACATTTTCAGGATAACGGCTGATATCCCGTCTCCACCACTTGCCTTTTTGGCGTCTAATTTAGAGACGATATCCAATACCATCAATGGGGTTATGCTCATCTTACTTAATAGAGCCTCAGTTCTCGGGATGAAAATCAATTGTGGGTACTCCGGATGAGCAAACAGGCGCCCTCGTGGAATTCGAGCGTTGAAATGGATGAGAATTTCCGAGGAAAGCATTCAGCCTTATCAGCCAAGGAAGTCAGGACCTTAAATTGATTGAATAGAGGAGATATTGTGAATTTGCTGTTGTTCAGTACGCACTTGCAGAACCACCAATAATCTTTAGAACTAAACTTGCGAGATGCAATACGTTGTTTCATTCTTTCAGCAAATAGTAGCTTCGCTTCATTAAGGACACGCTTGCGCTCATTACGAGCGGGAACAGAGATGTTTGTTGCAATCAATGTCGCTTCGGTACAGACGGAAGATGTGATTCCTATGGGCTGAAGCGGCTGAGCAAGCAGATGCGTACCATGCTTTTTGTTTTTTAAACCGTCGATGGGGTTATGTTTATACCACACAACAGAGCCTCAGTTCTAGTGGGGAAATCAGGTGTGGATACTCCGGATGAATCGAGCGTTGAATTCGATGAGAATTTCCGAGCAAAGCATTCAGCCTTATTCACTGAGGAAGTCAGTATCTCACATTCATTGAATATTGTGGATTTGCTGTTGTTCAGCACACACTTGCAAAACCGCCAATAATCTCCGGAACGAAAGTTGTGAGATGCAATATGTTGTTTCATTTTTCCATCA